TCAGGAACTGTACAGCACAAGCGAGAATTTGGCAAGATTCTGGCAGAAGGCATCAAAGCTGATCATTACAAGGGCTGTTTAGGGTCCCTCGTGGCCAGATTGTGCAAACAGCAGGCCTGTGCATGTGCTGGCTCATAGCGATAACATTGTATGCTGAGATTGGCACGAAGTCCTGGTGAAATCATAATTGGAAAGTCTTTCTCCACTCTCAGAACTGAATAGTCACACACAGAGCTCCTAGTTTCCTCCTCAGCCCTAAATGCTATTGCATCTCTCCCCTGGTCACCTCCCCAAACTCAGTCCATTCCACTCTCAAGGGAATATTTTGTCTGGTTTGGCTTTCTTTCATCATGTTGGCACAAGATTGAATCATGAGCAGCCATTGTGTTGTCATGGGAAATATACAGAATGTGACCAGGCAACTTTGGTAATGAGTAAGGGCCCAGATCCTTACCTGGCCTTCATCAGCATAGCTTCACAGACCTCAGAGGCCCTAAGTCCATTTATACCAGCTGAAAATCTGGGATCTTTGCAAAATATTTTCCATTATTCCTACTATGGTGTGAGATTTTTATAACTTTCAGAAACATTCTTATCTGAAGCTGATTTTCTGCCCCACTTCTGGTTTCTGCCAAGGTTAAAGTTATGGCAGAAACCAGAGAAAGGAGAAGAAAGGATTTATCAGTTGTTCTGGAGTGATGGGAATCCCTTTTCCATTGGAAAAAGCCCCAGACTTTCTGGACCAGAACTGCAGGGGGGAGAGGAATGGTTGAGGTCTTGAAATTCGAAAGTTAGGCATGGCCAGCGTCCTGGGCCTAAGGAGAATTAAAACAATACAAATAAAGAAGTTTATAAGCAATTGAAAAATAATAACTTCTGAGCTTATGTAACCCACACACCTTCTGGTGTGGTGTACTCATGCTCAGTGGGCACATGGTAAAAATTTTGAGCAGAGCCTAATAAAGACTCACTTAGGATATGTCTACACTACCACCCTAGTTCGAACTAGGGTGGATAATTTAGTCATTCAAAGTTGCAAATGAAGCTGGGCTTCCTTCCTCCTCTGAATCCAACCCTGCATAGCCGTAGAGGAGCAGGCCTAACTAAAGAGGACTGACCAGCTCAAGACCTCTGGTTATTAAAGGGACAGGCCACCCTATTACAGTGCTTTAACTGGAATATACATAACAACAATCTTGCATTGCTTGGACAGAAACAAGAGTTAATGCCTTAAGCCGCTACCAGGAACATTTGCTTTCAGGAGGTTATAGATGCCTCAAGATTGCATGGAGTTCAAGTGACACATATACAGCAACTGCTACTAAAATAACTGCACATAAAGAGTTTACAATCTAGAATCCCAATCCCACAAAAAACCTAATGATCATGCTTAGCTTTATTTTAAGGCAGGGGTCCTCTCTGTCACGGGCCCTCCCCCCATGCTTTATGAAAATTGACTTATGAATATGCATAACTCGAGGGCATTTTAGGCAAAATACAAATATGACATCATTTTTAAAGTTACAGTCTGCTGAATATGTATATTCTATTTCTGTGCATGTGTCATTCTTGTATGTGAAATTTTAAATGGAAACCTGCTTTGTTAATATAGGTCTTCTTGTGAAAGCTATTAGTGGTACTTAAGGAACTTAATGGCCCAGTGATCAAGCCAATGATCTGTAAATGGTTTTGTTTTTCCTATAAGCCCAAACTATGATTGTTCCTACAAAGACGTGACTATGCCACCTGGTGCTGGAATCCATCTTTAATCTGGTATTTTTCCCTGGGGATGGGGAGATAAAACAAAGGATTCATGCCCCGAGGAAATGCCATTTAAGAAATGGAAACTAATAAGTCTTTGGTCTTCAGATGGCTTTTGAAATTGCTTCCCCACCCTAAGAGGATACACATGAAGAAACCAGAAAACAAAGAACTCTAAAGATGTCTGAGAAGCTGTAGACTCAGACTAGTGAAAAAAGATCAACTCTGTCCTCAAGGATTTTAACTGAAGTAAGAACTAGGATGAGAATTATGATCTGTAACAATCTCTCTTAGTGTATTAGGATTAGCTGGCATGTTTGTTTATTTTGGTTTAGTAACTTGCTTTGATCTGTCTGTTTTCACTTGCAATCACTTAAATCCTACTTTTTATACTTAATAAAAATACTTTTGTTTATTATCAAACCCAGTGCCAATAATTGTTATCTAAGGGGGAGATACAGCTGTGCATCTCTCTCTTCCATTGATAAAGAGAGCAAATATATGAGCTTTCTCTGTGTAAAACTTTTTTGCTCTGCTTGGGAGTGGTTGTGCCAACTCTATGCCTTGCATGGGGTAGACTAGAGCATCTGGCCCAGCAGGACAGGGTGATAGGGCACTCCAGAGGACAGGTTGATGAGTTCAGTGATATGATTAGCACACCAGGTGATAGTCCCAAGGGGATCTCTGTGATCAAACCTGTCACACACTCAAAGGGCATGAAGTTAACCCCATGCTTAAGTCTTTGAAGGGTCAAGCCCTAGAAATAGGAACACCATGCAAAAAGAGTGGGTGGAGGGGATATTATTTGGAAAGAGATCTGCATACACACTTTTTTCAGGTGTATGATTACTCAGATAAATACAGGTTTGAATTCTTGGTTTATAGTTGATTAAGTAATGATCCAAACAAAAGCCATTCAAAATTACAAGTTAGCCTAAATATGGACTCCCCCTGACCTCCCAAAGGCTATGTCTAGACTGCAGGCTTCTTTCGAAAGATGCTCTTTCGAAAGCATCTTTCGAAAGAGCATCTTTCGAAAGATCGCGTCTAGACTGCAGGCGGATCTTTCGAAAGAAAAATCCGCTTTTTCGAAAGAGAGCACCCAGCGAGTCTGGATGCTCTCTTTCGAAGACGGCCTCTTTACATTGAAGAACGCCTTCCTTCGAAAGAGGAACTTTCGAAGGAAGGCATTCTTCCTCGTGAAACGAGGTTTACCGCCATCGAAAGAAAAGCCGCGTTCTTTCGAAATAATTTCGAAAGAACACGGCTTGAGTCTGGATGCAGGGGAAGTTTTTTCAGGAAAAGGCTACTTTTCCCGAAAAAAACCCTGAGTCTGGACACGGCCAAAGTGGAAGCAATTCACTCAGTACTAGTGTATGCTTAACAACAACCCTATCATAATGGGTTGTAGGTATGATGAGTGCCATTACCTGCCGAGCAATCCCTCATTGTTCAGACTCATGGTGGGCAACAAGTTTGGGATTCTATTTCAGTTAGGATAAGCACCACTGGCTACTCACACCCTGGGTTTCTCACTGGGGGGGGGGTGGGATATCGCAAACTGGGTTAAAGGGAGACTGACTAAAGCTGAGTGAAATGTTTTGGCCAATAATAAATTGTCCAAAAATGCATTTTTAAGGCATGAAAGCTGTTCACAAATCGAGGTAAAATTATGCACATCGTTTTAGTAAAAAAAAAAACCCTGAAAATATTTGGAACTGTCAAAATGACAGGCTTTGATGTTTTTTAAAAAATTGATCATTTGGAGTTTTGTTTTGAAGTGACATTTTCAAAATGAAATGTTAATTTGAAACAACATTCAAAATGTTCCGTTCAACTTGGATTACATTTTTTCAGTTTTGTTTTAGTGAGAAAAAACAAACAAAAAAAATAGTTTCAATTAGAAATAGAATTGTTGCCCCAATTTTGGCCACTGAGCAGAAAAATCAATTATTCACTCTACTCTAGTTCTGATTACCCTGCTTTTCTATGTGGCTGGGAGGGAGAGGACTTCTTAAACTTTTTCAAATCGTAACATTGGGTCTCGGCTGGGCACCATTGGCTTAGCCCAACTAAATGAATGACTTGAGCCTGCAGAGCTCATAGAAACAGGTCATTCCTACACACACACGATTTCCCATACTTCTTTCATTTGTTACTTCCTGGTCCAGAGAACAACCTTCCTCCTAGAACGTTTGGGTGATGATTTGGTAGGGAAGGTGGTTTTCCATATCATCCAAACCACTTTGCCCATTACTATGTCAGATCAAATTCCACTGAGGGAACAAGAATATCCAGGACCACAGTGGTTTGGGTTTCTAATTGGTGGTGACTTCTATTATTGTCTTAAGTGGGGTTATATGGAGTAACAGGAGCCACTTTTATCTGAAGAAACCAACCTGGAAATTAATCTTTAGTAGACCTGGTCTACGTCATATGACTGGGGCCAAGAAATGAAGAGAGATGTCCTACCAGCATTCCTGAATGCCAACATACTTAGTTAATAATCATCCTGTTATATGAAACGATAAGTCCAAGTGGGTTATGAAGTGAAATAGCAAACAAATCCATCTGGAGCTCAGTAGCTTTCCAATTATTTTGTGGAAACATGGATCTGCTCCGAGCAACCCAATATGGAGAATCTGGATCTTGCTATGAATAGTGCCTCAGTAATCCTGGAGACTTAATGGCATTACCTGAAGGACAAATATGGCTCTGAGGCTAAACATCTGTTCTTGCTAGGAAAAATGTCTAAGGAACGTGTCAGTTCTTCCGACATTTTTTTGTGGAAGAGCAGATGTGCTCTTTCGGAAGCCTTGTATTCCTTAGTTTATGAAGAATAAGGGTTCTTCCAAAAGAGGAGGTTTTTCCGAAATCTGGCCCAGTGCAGATGGGTCAAATTTCGGAAAAGCCTCTTCCGAAAAAACAATCGGAAAAAGGTATGCAAATTAAAGAGCACAATTTGCATACCTTTTTCCAAAAAAAAGTGGCAGTCTAGACATAGTCTGAGAAAGATTGGTGTGTCCTGTCAGAGCAGTGCATGGGGATACAGCTTTTACTTAAAGACTTCAAGCTCAGTTTCTAACCTGTAACACCAGACCTAACTTACCCAGAACTGAATTCATTATTTCTGGGATGAGTCTGATGGCTTGGATTTTCCATGTGTGTTTTACTATGGTACAACAGCATGTAAGTATTCAACTGTTTCCTTCCCAGTTCATCTTCTCTTTCTTACTCACTTTCATCTTCTTCATCCCCCATTCTGCTCCTCTCCCATTTCTGTATGTCTTTCCTTCCTTCTTTGTGTCATTCCACCCATTCATCTCTCAATGTGCATCCTCTTGAATCATTCTCTCCAGCAGCATCAGGGTTCCCAATCCCCTCTCAGTGATGTGGTATGGATGCATATTTCAGTAAGACGAAACCTGTAAAGACAAGCAGACGTCTCCTAGTTAATGCCAAATGCTCATTGCAATACAGTGAGGAGACGCCTGTAAAGTGATAGCCTCATATCCGCAAAGACCTTTGGCATTTGGAATGCTCTCTCCTTCCATTTTCAGGGCAAACAGCTGAAGAAACTAGGAATTCTCCTTCCCCATGAGGATCTCCTCTCTCACCGAGAAACCTGTAAAGACAAGCAGACGTCTCCTAGTTAATGCCAAATGCTCATTGCAATACAGTGAGGAGACGCCTGTAAAGTGATAGCCTCATATCCGCAAAGACCTTTGGCATTTGGAATGCTCTCTCCTTCCATTTTCAGGGCAAACAGCTGAAGAAACTAGGAATTCTCCTTCCCCATGAGGATCTCCTCTCTCACCGAGACATCCTGGCCCTACAGATACCAACCTTACCTCCAGCCCCTGTTGTTCAGCAAATGCACTATCATATATCCCACTGTTTATCCAGCCCATGCAATCTGATCTGGCACCTATATCCAAGAGGGTGATTAGCATCTATGGGTGCTTGAGAGCTGACTTTCCAAAAGTCATGATGCATTTTTGGAATGGCAGGCGGAGTCAAAAGGCTTGTTAAGCCCTTTGATCAACTAGACTTCCCGTTAGCAGACATGTATCATCACCCGCTCCATAAATCCTGTCACTCATTCCCAGCTACACTACCCCATAGGCCCAGGAACTTATTTCTCAGTCACACTATCCTCCCTCCTCCAGTTACAGGAGTATTGCCTCCAGGTTTTATACGCATTCCCCAGCTCCCAAAGTATTCCAGTTATCATGAGGGAGTTACATTCAAAGGTTCAGACCGCCATTTTGTCACTTGTAAGTCCTTAAAAGCCAGCAATATTAGAGACGGGTTAATAGCGTTCCATCCTTTCTCATAGTTCCCTTTCCCTTTCCCCAGACTCTCAATTAATGCCCAATGTCAACTACCCCTATTAACGCCCTGATATTTGCCACTTTAAAACTCACTTAGGTGGTGGAATTTTGATATCAGAATTAGCCAGGCTTCCCTCCCCCTGTTCATTTGCTCCCTGCCTCTCTTTCCATTGCACTCTGCTCTCTTCCCTTCACCTCCTCACTCTCTGCTGCTCTCATGAGCTTCTCATTGCTCGTTTACTGAGAGCTTGGTATAGCGTCGTACCAAGGAAGACTTGGTTGCTTCTCCAAGAACCTTGCAAGCTAATGCAAAGAGATGGGACAGTGCAGGCATGAGACACATTGGGATGACCACATTGTTTCAGAATGGATCAGATTATCTCTTTCCACTGCATATCACATCATCCTACAGCTTCTGATTCAGGTGGCTTGGCATTGCAAGGCTCTGACAAAAAAGTGTGTTGTAAAGAGGGACTTAATGCAGAGAGGGGTCATATTTTTAGCCTGGTTAGAAAGGGATTTCCAAGTGCAAGGACGGGGCATCAAACAAGAGGTTAAGATGAGACTGAGGAAGGACCAAAAAGGGCAACCATGTGGGTAGCTCTGGAGTAATGTCAGTAGCAGAAGGGGAGACAGGAGGTACTAAGGGATGAGATGTGGCCAGGGCATGAGTGGTAGTGCAGAGTGCAGAAAGTGAGGCCGAGAGGTTGGATTTCATAGAATCATAGAATCATAGGACTGGAAGGGACCTCCAGAGGTCATCGAGTCCAGCCCCCCGCCCTCAAGGACAGAAGGCAACAGAAAGCCTGTCAAGGGTGTTGAAGATAGGAAACAACGTACCTGTAGTTAGAGTAGCAAGACTGTAAATGGCCTGAAGGAGGGTGAAGTAACGTTAGGTGATCACTGAAACTGTGATAGCAGTTGAATAGATAGATGGGTTTTAGTGTGGGGAACAGAAAAGAAAGGTCAGATATTAGACATGACACAGAGGAACATCTGGCCTGGGGCAGGGTAGGGCTGGATTATAACACCATGTTTGCAAACCTGGCTATCAATTTCAGCAAGAATAGTGAAATTGTTATAGTGAAGGGGAGGAAACAAGGAAGTTTACTGTTTACCATGTTGAACCTGAGATGTTAGCAGAACATTCCAAAAGAGATGCTGGAAAGATAGCTGGGAAAGAGAGTGGAGAAGCGGGAAAGGTCAAGGTAAAAAGGCAGCCCTGGAAGACATTGGCATAAAGACAGTAACTGAACTCATAAGAACAGATGTGTTTATGTTGATATAAGCAGAAAAGGGAGGAGGAACAAGGACAGAGAATGGAGAGAGCTAGAGAGGCAGTCACCAATGGTGATGCATATTAGAGAAATTCAGGATCAATTCCTGCCTCAGGGACAAGGAACAGAATGAAGGGAAAGGGAGGGATCAGCATAGCTGAAATAAGAAGAAAGATCAAAGAGGATCAAACTAAAAGGCTTCTCTCACTAGGCAGCCCTGTGGGGAACAATTTTGGGGCGATGAAGGTGAAGCTAGGCTGCAAGGGATTCAAGGGAGAATTATAGGGGAAAGAGAAGCCAAAGTCATGAGAACAAACAACACATTCAAGGAACTCACACAATCTTAATTTGTTTGTTAGCTCTTCAGGGCATTGAGCTACGTTCTGTGAAGCGTCATGTATATTTAAGGCACTGTATGATTGTAAATTATAAAAAGTAGGTAACAAGGCAAGAGTGGAGTTAGGGCACAAGGAGAAAAACATACAGAAATGCAAGCCTATTATTAGAGCTGGTTGAACTCTTCTGAAAGAAAGGGTGTCCCCATCAGAAATGGCTGAGTCAACAAAATCTGAACGTTTTGCAGCAACATGTTGATTTAATTTATGTTTTAAATGAAAAATTAGTGAAAATTTTGGGTTCAGTGAGGTTGAAGCACTTTGTTTCAATTTGTTCATGACAAAACAGAAATATAAAATCAAAGTGCTTCAATCTGATCAAGAAACAAAGCCTTTCGATAAAGTTATTTTGATTTTTCCAGCACAAAATTCTTTAGAAATTTTGTTCGGCAGGAGATTCGATTTGTCATTCCGGTTTTTGGAGAAAAAAGTTTGTAAATGTCAGAAAATAAAAGTTTAGTTTTGACCGGCTCTGTTATGTAACAAGTGACCAATGTATCTCCCCGCCCCTCCCCCCCCCCCCCCCCCCCGAACCCACCCCCCCCCCCCCCCCCCCCCCCCCCAAGGCTAAGCTATGAGTATTGGGGTATGACTGTGCTATTGCATCTAATCTAATGGACACACTCCCTTAATTCAGTAGAGGTTTGTGATTTTACATCCAAAAGTCTTCCTGGACTGAAATTCCTGCAGATGACCTATCCAGGGGAGACGTGGTAAGTGGTATCCCACATGGAAGAGTTCAGTTGTGGTGAATCCAGGCGGAGAGAGGAGGTAACAATTGTATATTCAAAAACAGAAGCAACACTGAATGACAGTTAAAGGTTGTAATAAGACACGCCTCATCCACCCAAAACCTTGAGAGCATGGAAATAAGAAGTGAAGGGGAACACTTGTGAATTTCTTTCCACCTTCATATTGACAGTGTTGTAGGCAATAGCTCCACCATTCCATAAAACTTTCACTTCCAATTCCAATACACACCCCAGCTTCAAACTTGCAGGCTAATGCAAAACCTTCACAGCAACCTCACATGCTGATCTACTGTTAAAAAAACAACAACCCATATCTGATGTTCCCTGTATTTGGGAAGTTTTTCTGCCTTACTGTCTCAGGTTATAGCTATCCTTTATTACCTTGATCTGGACCTTAGTCCAGGCCTGGAGTAGATGCCTGTTCAGCTCATTCGGCCTCTCGTGCTCTGCAGCATTCTCAGCCGAGTTGGTCAGGAGATTACACCCGGGCTGGTATGTTATCAGAGCTGCTACGAGGTGAGTGAAGACGCGATAAGGACGTGTTAAAAGTCAAGGAGGTGCCACTGACAAGGACCAAAGTTGGGCTTGAACTTCCCCGCCTGTCATGTGTGCACTGACGCTCTACAGTCCACCACTGTTTCTGCCAGCTGCTTCTTTGGCAATTCGTACTCTCTCATTTGTGTGCACTCCTCTCTGCCCAGCCAACTGATCTCTAATGGAAGTACAACCATCTGAGCTTGTGGGGAATGAATCCTTTCCTGTAAAATCCTCACTGTGCCAGATTCCCCAGAGAATGGGGAGGGGGGGCACTTTTCATTCCCCCCCCCCCACACACACATACACACACACGCGCACTCTGATGTGGAGGCAGAAGGGTGGTCTTTACTTTCCACACCCTGATTTGAGAGGACTTTTTAGCTGCTGAGCTCTGTGGAGAGCTCTGATCCAGAACATTTACCATTCCACTCACAAAAACAGACATAGTACAATCCACCTCTTTCCCAATTCCTTAATTCCAGGATTCTAGGGCTCTGTTGTGATTTAAGGTCCTTCCCAAGCTATCCAGATCAGTGTGCACCCTGTTTTCAGAACAGCTTGATTCAAAATACTGTTATCGTGTGTGAGGTGGTGGCGTTTTTAATGCCTGCTAGATGGACTGAACTTCATGTTACAGGCCCTAACAGTGAATGCAGCGTGGTCAGTGGACCACAAATGGTCTGTGACCATCTTGTAGCTAGCCCGCAGGCTCAGGATTTGCCTCCCTCCCCGTCCCACAGCGGGAGCCCCAAACATTGTGAGCCAGCTCCAGCTCTCCCCCCATACTCCTCACACCCAGACACCATTTCCCTCACCCACCCCAGCCTGCTCCTGCACCCAGCCTCCCAGCCAGAGCCTGCACTTCACCCCGTCCTACACCCATTTTGTCATCATGGGATACATCTACACAGCACCCTAACTCCAAAAAAGATACCCAATTTGTGTTATGCAAACTGTGTATCTTATCAAATCTATTTTGAAATAGCTTATTTTGAAATTTGGCATGTCTACACAGATGCACCAAGGATTAGCAGGATGGCAAAATAGTGCACCCGTTATTTCGAAAAATATCTCTGGTGGGTCGCAGAAAGGTTTGTGTTGAGCAGGGTGGGTCACGGGCCAAAAAGTTTGAGAAGCACTGAGCTAATGAAAAGTCTCCTTTACAGGAAAATCAGTCTAGCTCCCTGCACTGAGGCAGGACCAAAGAAACCTAGATCATCCCTCACAGGTGTATGTCCAATCTATTCTGAAAGGCCTCTCATAATAGGGATTCCACAGCTTTTACCAGTTTCGCAAATGAAGGGAGGACTTCTATCACTAGCACTGAACTTAGTCTAAGAAAGAGAGAACATGCCTGATTTAACTGCCCTTTTAGTTGGAAAGCTTTCTCTAATATGCCGTCCTCCATGCTACATTTAAGCCCTTTATTTCTTGTTCTACCAGCTGTAGACAGAGAGAACAATCGATCATGCTCCTTTTATAACAGCTTTTAACATATTTTAAGACTTGTCAGGTCCACCTTTGGTTTTCTTTTCTCAAGACCAAAGATTTTAAACCTCCCAACTCTTTTTTTCAAACTCTCCACATAGAGAAAAGGTTTGGAAAACTTGGCCATTTTTGGTGCTGTCTTCTGGAATGTCTCCAATTTGTCCACATCTTTCCTAAACTGTGGTGCCCAGAACTGGACACAGTGCTGCAGCTGAGGCCCTCGTCAGTGAGGAGTAGAGCAGCACAAGTATCTTCTGCGAGTTCAGGGATCAGTTTTATCTAATTATATACAAAAAGTATCAGCTCAGCCCAGATCTTCCTGCTAGAACAGCCAGAGGAAAGCTCCCATTTGGTTCACCTGGTAGAGCTACTGCCAATTAGGGATGTTAAATTTCTATTAATTAACTAATCAAATAGTTGATGGGATTTTCATCGACTATTCAATAAGAACTAGCATGGCGTTCCGCCTTTGAAATGTACAAGAGCCCCAGCAGGGGCTCTTGTGCATTTCAGAGCAGAAGCGCCTGCATGGAGCCCGGGGTCAATGGGGGACTCCCTGCTGACCCCGGGCTCCACACGGTGTTTCAATCTTTGAAATACATGTACATTTCAAAGTTGGAACACTGCCGCTGCGACCCTGCCCCTCCCACGGAGGTGGAGCTGGGGGGAATCGTGGCAATGATCAGGATGCACACCCCTGTCCAGACAGTGTCCTCCCCTAGCTCGTTATAGTCCAAGCCCCTGCCCAGGGTTTCTGTGAAAAGAGCTGATAGTCTCAGTTAAATTCCTCATGGGCATGAGTCCACATCAAACAACTGGCACCAATTGAGCCCTTGTTAACATTCTGAGCAGAGAGTCCCAGAACTGGATGGGGTGGGAACACAGGATGACATAGTCACCTAAAGACAGGGTCCTCCCTGCTCACGATGGGGGCACACAGACCACATAGGACTAGGAAATTTACATGGCTGCTGCCCATATTTTGTAAATATTGCAAATGAAGAGAGATCTTTTATCTCTAGTACTGAACTTTCACAAGTAGAGAACATGCCTCTATCAGTCGCCAGTCTCGTAAACATCAATACTGTCTCTTTTTTCAGTCCTTATAAACAAGGTCATTGAATGGCTGCCTGGGGGCAAGAGTGGCTTCCCCACAATCCATGGGCTGATCTACAAACCCACATTACAGTTATGCTACTTGTAATCAACAAGTATGTGGACAGAACTCTTACCCTGACCCCTCTAGATGCCTGGGAGAGAAAGCTAGTGTGCAACTGTGGGCCTGGGAACCAGAAACCATGTAGGGAGAACAGCCCCCTACAATGCAAAGGAATTAATATTATCTCTGCACTGGCATGGCCTAAGGCTTTTGAAGGGTGTATTTTCAATTAGACTATTCTGCAGCATCCAGCACTGACAATAAAACAAAAAGTCCATTATTATCAAAGTTAAGCTCAAGATTCAAAGGGGGACACATCTTATCAGAGGCTTATATTTGCCTTTCAAGAAAATCTAGTTTCTTATATTTCAAGGACACTTCCCATGTTGCTGGTAACTCCGCTCAAGCCCTCATCCTCTGCAGATTTTGTACCTTAGGGTTCTGGTTCGGCCCGCTGACAGATGTGTGTAAAAGGGAGCAACTAGCCCAGTGATAGCAAAGAGTCCAGAATTTGTGGCAGTGGCCAGAGCCATGGACCCCTTAAACTGTTGCCGGAGCACCATGCCGTGTGCTCCAGGCCGCACTGAAGACTTCCCCGCCCCAGCCCTTCCCCGGAACAACACCTGAGTGCTGCAGCCCGTCTTGCTGTTAAAAGTCCACTAAAGGAGCTAGGCAGGGCAGATATGCAGTTATGTCACAAAAGACTTGTTTAGGGTCTGCTAAAATTCTTAGTGAAGGCCATGAGAGCATGATCTCAAGTAAATTTTCATGAGCCTGTGATTTCAGTACCTTAGCAAATGCACTAGTCCTAAACAAGAATCATGGCCTACCAAGATACACATCACAAACTTCAACCATTTTTCCTGGATTCCTGTTTTTTAAAAAGCATTGGCCCACTTTTTTTATGGTTGGAGAGTGTTTCATTTGAGTACATAATCATTTACAGTGTCCCCTGGCATGTTGGCTGCCACCCCCAGCAAGGGACCAGTGATTTGTGATCTTAATTCCATCATGTACTAATTGGGGGGGACGCTGTACCCCTGACAGACCCTCTCAAAGTTGAGGAAAAAGTTCTCTACATTATCTCCCACTTGGTACACGGGGAGTTTCCTGGGGGGTTGAATAGTGATGGAGGCAGGGTTGTTGGGTGGGGTACCTGGAGTGTCCGATCGCTTCGCTTTCTCTAGCGCAACGTGGGCCTCCGCTTGTCTCACCTGTGCTTCTACTTCTGCTCACCTCACCTCAGCCTCCACTTGAGCGTGCTTCAACTCGGCCTCTGCTCGCCTCGCCTCCACTTGTGCACGCTTCTCCTCCATCTGCAGGAGAAACTCCATCTCTTCCTCCATTAAAGGTCTGCCTGCTTTAAAGGCAATTTCCCACACAGAAGGCAGTGGTGAGCAAGGAGGAGGGCTGCCATCTGCTGCTCCTGCCCCCTCATGGTTACTTCCCCCTGGACTCACAGGGACATGCTGTTGACTCCCCTGCTCGGGGTGTGACTATTCCCTGGAGCTGGACATCTTGCCTTGATCTGAGGCTGTTTCTACCTCAGGGTATTGCTTAGGATGGGTTGGTTGCTCTAGGGCTACCTTGCCTGACTGCAAAAGCATGCACTGGGCTGTTTCCCTGCCCTATTCTATCCTAACTATCCAGTTGCCCCGAAAGCTAAAAAAAAAACCTCTTTGGGTTGGATTGTCTGACTTTAAGGTTCACCTGCTGTGTGCCTTTTCCCAACACACCAACTGAAAAGAAAAAGAAAAAAAACTCCAAAGCTTGCAACTAGTCAAAATTAAAACATGTGTCCTTTTAAAATTCTGGGTTCTCAAAATGATCCCACCGTTCTGCCACCATATCAAGGCTGTTCCTCACTCTGGCACGATAAATGCAGAAGTTAGGGGCCCACATGAGCACTCCAAAACCTTGCCTCTACAGGTTCCGGTAAGAAAAAAACTTCCCCCCAAAATCCTAATGTCCAGATTTTGGAGAATCTGCTGCCACCACCCAAATAATTCCACGAAAACCAGAGAAGAGATCACTTGGGAAATCTCCTCCTTAAGGTAAAACTCTCCCCCTGCTCTAACCTCCGTTCTACTTGGAGTTGGGAAAAACAGAGGGAATCCACAGGCAACCATGGACTTTTCCCTTGTAACTAGGTGCTGAGTCCTAAGGACACAACAATCAACCAATCCTGGTTAATTAGAAAAGAAAACAATTCTTTTATTATCAAAACATAATAAAAGCATAGTAAAGTGGCTAGATGGAAAGAGACACCAATTAATATAGATACTAAGGGAAACCCCCTGGGTTAACAGACTTAGTTACAAAAGAAAAAACACAATTAACAGCTCAGACATTATTTCCAAATCCCCAAACAAAGAAAACAATAAACCCTGAAGGACTAACTAAACTTTTCCCTACTTACACCTTGTAGGAAGTCTGTTCTTGGAGAGAGAAGTGTCTCCCATCTCCCTTAGTACTTGGAAGAGACTGCTCTGAATCTCAAATAAAGAAGAGAAAGAAAACCCCTCTTTTCCAGTTTGAAATTCCTACCTGCATTGTTATTGGCTGACCAAGCCTGACTTGATGACTTCCTGAGGTCTCTTCCGGCTCTATGATTCTATGACAACTGGATCCCTGGCTGGATACAGAGATAACCCTTTAGTTACCAGGTGCTGGTCAGCACTCCTGATTATGACACCAACATCTCAGAATCTCAAGAAAACCCCTCTTTTCCAGTTTGAAATTCCTACCTGCATTGTTATTGGCTGACCAAGCCTGACTTGATGACTTCCTGAGGTCTCTTCCGGCTCTATGATTCTATGACAACTGGATCCCTGGCTGGATACAGAGATAACCCTTTAGTTACCAGGTGCTGGTCAGCACTCCTGATTATGACACCAACATCTCAGAATCTC